CATCGTGCCTCCTTTATATATATATATATATATATATATATATATATATATATATATATATATATAAAATAAACTATAACTGTTATTTTTAGAATTTTATGATGATCCATTTATTTTAAACATTATTTATCTCATCTACTGGCCTGCATACACAAGAAAACTTAGAGATTCAAATCCTGCTATTGGAGGGTACATTTTTTTTTTTTTTTAATTAATTTTTCTCAAGTACCAGTAGACAAAATAAATATTGTTTAAAATAAACAGACCATCTACTCAAATATGGGTATCCAATAAAAATAATGTTTGAGTTAGTAAAAATATGTTGGATTAAAAAATAAAATCCATTAATTTTATAGATATATTCTCTTTATTCATAAAGATATATATATATATATATATATATATATATATATATATATATATATATATATATATATGCATGTTTCGTTAAAAACGACAGACAAGGTACTACAGTTGAGCTTTTTATTTAATTTTTCTTGTGTTCTGACAAGAGCATTCTTTTCTGGACAAAGAGTGTGTAAGAACTGTCCGAATGTTCTGTTTTTCCGAGCGCTTTCGGCTATATTTTTTAGCCATTATCAAGGATGGTTCATTACATCATTATACAAAAAAACCCACTAGCAAAAACTCGTGCCACCTTAATTTCAAAAAAGTGAATGTCCATATAGGTACAAAATATAGCTAATAAAAAACTTTCTAAATAGAGCCCACCAGAACTCATCCTCTCGATTACTCTTTCTCAAAGAACTTAACAACGTTAAACAAACACTAATTAACAACGGTTTCCCTAACTACCTTATAGACCAACAAATTAGAATATTCCTCCCCAAAGCAAGTAATAATGATAGCGAACACACAACTAAAAATCACATACACATTTATTACAAAAAACCAAATGCATATTAATTACAAACAAGATGAATCTGCTCTAAGACATATTATAAAGAAATATACTACTCCTATTGACCCGGATAAAAAAATCAAACTTATTATCTATTATAAAAATTTAAGACAGCCAACCTTATCCTCAAAAAAATAATAACACACCAACGAAGTCAAAATTACAAAGAACGAACATTATCTATGAGTTCAAATGCCCTTTAAGGAACTGCGTTCCTCACCAAACCGGACTCATAAATAATTACATCGGCTACACAACCACATGTTTATCCAGACGTCTTACATTACACCTATCTGATCACAGTTCCATCAGAACACATTTAAACACACACTCAGATTTACCCGACACTATTAGGAACATACTAGTAGAAAACACTATTAACTGCATCCACTTGCAAAAAAAGACTAAAAATAATGGAAGCTCTAATAATAAAAAAAAAAAAGCCAACTCTTAACAATATCAATTATGAACAAGGCCACAATGTGCTAACTGTATTCGGAAACTAAAACATCACTACCACACACTGAACATACATAGAACACACAATCTACTTGATAATGAATATCCATCATTGAACCATCCTTGATAATGGCTAAAAGTATAGCCGAAAGCGCTCGGAAAAACAGAACATTCGGACAGAAAAGAAAGCTCTTGTCAGAACACAAGAAAAATTAAATAAAAAGCTCAACTGTAGTACCTTGTCTGTCGTTTTAACGAAACATGCATAAAGGAAGGATTGCTGCCTAATTATACAAATATATATATATATATATATATATATATATATATATATGTGTGTGTGTGTGTGTGAATATAAAGACAAGAGGAAAAATATTCTTAGCTGACACGTTTTGTCCTCTGAGGTGCATATCAAGGCAAATTTGCCTTGTCTTTTGGTCCTTTACAGATACAGTACCTGAAATTAATTTACATTATACATATATATATATATATATATATATATATATATATATATATTTTCTACATGTGGCAGCTTAAAATTCACTAGAAAATATTTGTAAAACATTTTTGTTTCTGATTTTTTTCAAGATAGAAGTGAGAAACAAATAAGCATTCATTTTATAAATGATAAAAAAAAAATGACAAGTTATTTTCCTGAAAAGTGAAGTCAACAAGGAGAAATAAAACAGTTATTCATGCAAAGAATGAAAGGTTCCCTTTTAATCCACATGCAGAAATAGATAACAAACAACCAAAACTAACAATATCTTAAGTTCTTGATTATCTTTTTTTTTATTTTTGCTTGTGGAAGATCAAAAGTTATATACCTTTTTAGCTGATGGTACTGTTTAGTGAGAATCATATCAGGTTCTCAGTCTCCCAATTCTTTGCTAGCAAAAACAAGTGCATTTCTTTAATTATGTTTTCTAATGTAATCCAACATTATTTCTTTTTATTGATATACATATATTAAACAAAGTACAAAAATGCTTGCTGAGGCAAGAAATACCAAGTTAGACAACTCTGTTTTTTTCTCTCATTTAAGTTGTCTATCATTTGATTCTACTTTTTCTTGAGTAAAACTGAAATCATTTTTTTTTTTGCTTTCTTTACAGCTATATACAATCTTTTTTTTCTCTCTCTGTTTTAAATTATGTCATCACCAAGTGAACATTTTAGAATTATAATTTAAATCATGTAACATTAAGATATTAGAGATTTGTTTTCTTTCTAAGTTGAATCAGCAATATTATTAGTCTAGACATGGTGACTCAGCTTCAATCATTTCCCACCACCATAATGTAGCTTTCCCTGTACTCTTGCTACAAATAATTTCATGGTAACTGTCCAGATAATTTCTCTGCTAGAGTACCTGAACTTTATGAATTTAAGCACAGCACTAGATTGGCGACATGGTCTAATCATTTTACAGTTAAAATGGCTAGATGTAATTTCTATGCTAACAGTATTTTTTCTCGTACTTCGATTGTGGAACTCTCTTCCAGCCAACTTTGTCTTCTTGATTACTCTTTTTCTATTGTTCCTTAATAATGTTTCTCTTTTTTCATATTCTTTCACACTCAGTAACCCTTTGTGTCTTAGTAGATCTACTGCATGGTATAGAGTGAAATGATTAAAAAAAAAACAAAAAAAAAAAAACACTCTTTATGCATTTTTTTTCCTCTTCTGTACCTAAAAACAAAATTTAATAAAAGGCTTTGAGAAAAAAAATTAAATTGTTGGTAAAAGAATCCTATGATGAAATATAGCTTTATAATTAATAGGAACAGCCAATTATTATAGTGAGAAGCTAAACCTGAAATTAGTCAGATATTCTTTATTGGTATAGGTATCATGGAACTGAGTACTCTTTGTTATGGCCACCACTTTGTGGGTGTTACTTCACCCACAAAGATAAGAAAAAAAAAAAAATTCAGAGAGTTCAGTCCATCATAACACCCTGATAACATTCTGGGACAAACTAACCAACAAATGAAATCATTGGAACATTCATATTTCATGTAACAATGTAATGATATATCACATACTTTGAGAAATGATAATTACTTGCTTACTGAAATGTTATACAGAGGACTGTACTATTCAACATGTCGACCTCCTCTGGTCATAGTATTAAACAACAAACCTGTGACTAACATGACAGAATTTACCTTAGCACTAAACTATCTTGTGTATCTAGATTTCATAGTGAAGCTGATGTCTTTAAAGCTTGTGCTACCTCACATTAGGAATAATTATCTCCCTTGTTTTTGATACTTCATTCTGTGGATATTGAATTTTAATTCCAATTTAGGATATTTTTTTTTTTTTTAAGAATTAGTGTGAACAGGAAATTTTCTAGAGTCAGAATTGTAAAAATGTGATACCTGTCAAAATCTATTTAACACCTTCAGCACTAATTAACCTCTCCCCCAACCACTGATGTTTGTAGGCCAAAAATAGAATAAAGGGGATTTCCCGGAGAGTAAATAACATTGTTAGAAAGCAGGTATTCACCACAGAAATGTGTGGAGGACAAAATGAAGACAAGGCACAAATTTCAAGAAAGTGGACATTCTCTTTTGACACTTTAGAGGTAACATAGCAAAAACGTTAATATCCTTTGATGCTAAAATTGTTTGTATATTGACTTGATTAGACTTTTCCTGACTCAACAATGATAATGCTTAGCAAGGAACCATATTCTATCTTTTTCTTTACCCTTACTATTTAATAATATACTCACCCAGATATTCCCCCTCATGAATATGTACTAAATAATTTAATCTCCACAGAGAACCTTTTCTGCCTGCCATCAGCATAGCAGATGCTAAACTCCAGCTGAGCAACATGCGATGCTTTCTTCACCTCACTTTTTTCAACTGACATGAAATGGAGTGACTATATCAAATCAATTGCTTCGTCTACTACAAAGGAAGTTGGTTCATGGTGTCATGCCAGAAACATTTTCTCATCAGCATCCATCTTGTATATTCACAAATTCATTCATCTGTGCATTGAATACTGTTACCATACCTGATCTAGTGCTCCTGCTGTACATATCAAGATTCTTGAGGAAATCCAAAGGATCTATAATGTAATTCTGTAGCTCCACATTTCTGTTACTTTAAATTTGTTCTACATCTGTAAGGAGATTGCCCAGCATTCACTGACCAATATATAATATCAGTCCTCCTATATGGAGGACTGATATTATATAACCATTCAGTAATCTTTGTTATTACTCTAACATTAAGTATAAATTATAATAAAAAATAAATATATGAATTATGTTTTTCTTTGTGATAATTCTCAATTGTTTGTAAACCTCTTCTTATTCTATCACTTATCAAAAAAGAAAAATACATAATGAAATTTTTATTGATTATAATCATTACCAACATCAGTTGTCTTTGGATTGTAGACATGAAAAAGATTGGATATGTATTTCTGTTATATTATTAACTACAATTGCATGCTAGAAAATTCTATAGTATACAAATGCATCAAAATCAAAAACTTATTTTCTTGATCTATAAGACATTAGTGCAGGATATTACTTATAAATTCTTATATTTCATCAGGCATATACACAGAAATCTAACCAAATAGCAAAGGATAAGGAAGAATATCATTGACCCCTAAAAATGAATTTTTATAGCAGGTCTATTAAAAAAAATGTATATAACTAAAATTTTTAAAATTCATAATGCACCTCCATTCATAGTTTATAATCCAGGTACTTGCAGGATTTACAAATACTATTGTTTACAAAAATAGTATTATGTGTATAACAGGCCTTGAAACAAATTGTAAGAAATATGTTTCCATATTCCAGCACCAATTCAAGTATTTTTGAAAAAATGAGTTAGAATAAAAAATAAAAGTTAAAAATATTAAAAGAAATAAGAAATTTTTAACTAAAAGAAATGAAAAAAAAAAACCCACAAAACAAAAAGAAAACAACTTTAAAAAAAAAAAAAACTAAAACAACTTTTTTTAAAAAAAAAAAAACTAAACCAACTTTTAAAAAAAAAACAAACAACAAAATTTAAAAAAAAAAAACTAAAACAACTTTAAAAAAAAAAAAAAAACAAATTTAAAAAAAAAAAAAAAAAAACAAATTTAAAAAAAAAAAAAAAATAAAAAAACTTTAAAAAAAAAAAACTAAAACAACTTTAAAAAAAAAAAAAACTAAAACAAACTTTAAAAAAAAACTAAAACAACTTTTTTTTAAAAAAAAAACTAAAACAACTTTTAAAAAAAAAAAACTAAAACAACTTTTAAAAAAAAAAACTAAAACAACTTTAAAAAAAAAAAAAACAACTTTAAAAAAAAAAACTAAAACAACTTTAAAAAAAAAAAAAAAAAAAAAAAAAACTAAAACAACTTAAAAAACATAAGAAAATTTTTTTTTTAAATCTAAAAGAATTAAATAAAGAAAATAATTTAAGATCTTAATATCCACTTTTGTTTTTTCACACATCAAAATTTAACTAAATCTCCAGTATCCACCTAAATTGCAAAATTTTTCCTATAATTTTTTATTTTAAATTTAAACTACTTATAAAATTTAGTGTCCCAAAATCTGATCAAATCTAGTATCCCCTACAAAATTATACAAATCCAATTTCCATGTTTTTGTCTTTATTCTCAATATCATTATTAAATCTCTGTAAAGGCTTGATTATATCTCAACCTTTTAACCAGTCATTTTTACCCATAACAAAAAAAAACATTTCTTCATCAAATCCCAGTATGTCAATATGACTATAACAAATCTGATGACATATTAAACTCACATCTTTCTCAAAGCCTCTATTTTCGTGACCACTCACAGATATTTGTTGCAAAGTGGCAAGGTTTTTCATGTGCCTCATTTTCTCTTTCATTTCCTTTGGATAAGGCGTTGGGCAGCGGGTTAGTTTGCCCTGAAATGGCAGAGAGAAAATGAAAAAGAAATCATACATTTTCCACATACCAAATATAACCAAAAAGAAACGATTTTAAAACTGTTTCCTCAGATTATTAGAAACTAGGTTTAGCTCAGTTCACCATAGATTTTCTCCTTTTTTTTTTCTCCTTCATTCTGTAAACAACTAAAAAAAAAAAAAAATAAGATAAAAATAAACTGAAAACAAATTTATTTATCTTTACTAATTTATCCTACGATTTGAGGGAGTTCTGAAAAGTTCTTGGCCCAACCAAAATTCCCTTCCAAACAAACCTGTTGTTTGTTATTTTATCAGATTTTGGAAAGTGGGCCAGGCTTGAGGACAATTCAGCACTATCTCATTTAAATAACAAGATGGTTTTCCAATGCTATTTTTTTTTCAGTTTTAGATTAATGTTAAGATTTTCATATGGACTTAATGAAATTGCTTGTTTTATACATTATCTTGATTAATATTATCACTTTTGTTGTTTTTAAGTACATTTTAATTGATTTGAAGTACATTTTAATTGATTTGAAGTACATTTTAATTGATTTGAAGTACATTTTAATTGATTTGAAGTACATTTTAATTGATTTGAAGTACATTTTAATTGATTTGAAGTACATTTTAATTGATTTGAAGTACATTTTAATTGATTTGAAGTACATTTTAATTGATTTTTACTGCATTTTTCCATTAATCATTCTGTTTCATTTTTTTGTTCTATTTTTTCAAATTTAGAAAGAAAAAAAAAAGGGATGACACTTGAAAACTATCGGATGCACTTGAATAAAAAGAAAATGTCTAGAATCCATTTCAGAATTTCAAACACTATTTAAATCTTCATGATCCAGTTTAATTTCTGGTGCTTCTAAAATCAGAAACAATGAAAAATTTACCTCAAAGATACAATGTGTAAGAATGTTTTAAAAAAAAAAAAAAGAGAGAGAGAGAGAGAGAGAGAGAGAGAACAGAGTAAATTACATCAACATCATCTTCTTCACCAAGAGCAAAATGGATCTGTTGTCGTTTTAACCTCTCTTCTTCCCACATTGAAGCATGAAAACTGGAATTGTCATTTGGAGACTCTGCTGAAAAAAAAAAAAAAGTTATACATATTTATTTAGACATAAGAATAGAGTTATAAAATTACATTTATTCATTTATATATCTTGGCTTGACTTTATTGAGAAAGATTTAGAAGGGGGTCTCAGATTTTGTAGACAAATTCATCCATGGCAGAAACAAAGGATAAGAGTGTTTCATTTTTACAGAAGTATTGAATGGCTTCTCTGCATATTTGAATGCTGGAAATCTTTCTACATTGCTTGTGCAAAGAGGTTAATTGTAATATAGTCTGTAACATCACAGGTTTTTGTTGAGGTTTCCTTAGCAGAAAAAAAAAAAAAACAGTTCTGAAAATCTAAGTAGAATTTTAGTTCCTTGAAAGACACTTTTTAATTTGTGTGTGTGTGTATATATATATATATATATATATACACACACAATCACACACACACAGTGCTGTTCAATAAAAGTGACTCACCTGATTTTTTTTACTAAATGTTCTCTTCTCTGATGAAACGAAAGTTGAGCTAAATTCAAAGGATGACCAATCTAAAATCCGAAGAAGCAACTTTGAAAGCTCTTTGAATTTAACAGTAAGTACTGTCAAGCATCCATTCAGTATAATGTTCTGAAGATGCTTTTCTTTTCATGGAACCGGTTTCTTAAAGCCTATTGAAAAGACCCTCAGGAGCGAGCAGTACAAGAGAATTTTAGAGTCTTGTCTGCTCCCTTCTGCTGAAAGAGTGCAAATCTACCCCACCAAGCTCATTTTTATGCAGGATAATGCTCCCTGTCACAAGTCAAAATTGATGAAGGAATACTTTGATGAGAAGCAGGTGAGTGCTATGACATGGGTGCCCCAATCTCCTGACCTCAATCCCATAAAAAATTTATGGAGCATTAAAAAGTACAGGCTCTCGAGAAAGCAGTGGAGCAACATGCTCTATAAGTTTTCTATGGGGTTGAGGTCAGGAGATTGGGGCGCCCATGTCATAACACTCACCTGCTTCTCATCAAAGTATTCCTACAGCAATTTTGATTTGTGACAGGAAGAATTCTCCTGCATAAAAATTCTTTGGATTTTAGATCGCTTATCCTTTGAATTTAGCTCAACTTTTTGTTTCATCGGAGAAGAGAACATTTAATAAAAAAAAATTAGGTGAGTCACTTTTGCTCGAATAGCACTTTATATATATATATATATATATATATATATATATATATATATATATATGAAAAATATAGTCTTAAGATGTGCTATATTTATGGGATAAAGTGCTCAATATCAGAGATAGAGCATGTGTAAATATAAAAGTGAACATAGAAGTCAACACATAGGGCGACAGTCTGTTTCATGCTTGATGCAATTGTTGTGGCCTGACGATTACATCTAGCATGAAAGACTGTCGCCTCTAATTATGTTGACTTTATGTTATATTTATATATATATATATATATAATTTTAAACATGACTCAGAAATTAAAATTGTAAAAAAAAAAAAAAAATTGTCACTCTTCAAAGCTCATTTTGGCCACAGTTAGAAAAATCTTTTCCAAACAGTTGAATTCTGCCAAGGCTTCATTTTTTTCCTAACTGCAGAGAAAGTACAATCTACAATACACACACAAAATAGCAGCACACTTTCTATATGAGGAAAGCAACCAAACAGTCTGCAGTAAATGAGGTGGTCCCCACACCCACTAAACAGCCTCTACAAACCCTACGTGATTGTTGATAGTCATTGCTATGGAGTTGGGGTGCTAAATATAACATCAATAAGCTAAGTGACAAATTTTATATTTGTATTAATCTTATGCCAATGATACTATATACAGGTACACCTTTAAAACTCTTGATAGAGACTGGCAACTGATCTCTCTTCTGATCTTGCACAAACTACCCAATGAGGTAAAAACTGGCTTATTACATTCAATGCCTTGAAGACCAAGATAGTTACATTCCATCATTCTGATTCTGAACTACCACCAAACAATATGAATGGAGGTCCTCTTGGGGAACCATCTTGCCTTGAAAGACTCTTGAGCCTCAAATTTGCACCTGACCTCAAGTGGAATTCACACATATGGATGCAGGTAAAATGGTGGGTTCCCTGTACTGCTATCCTCTACCTTTATAAGAGCCAAGCCAGATCAGGACAAAAATGGAGTACTGTTGTTATATTTGGGTTGGAGCTGCTCAGACCAAACTCTCCAGCCTTGATAGAGTCCAAAAGTGTCTCTGGGCCCTTGTGAGTGATGAATTATTTTCCACCCTCCAACCTCTCTCTCACACACAGGCAGGATGTGGCAAGCCTCTTGCTGTTCGACTGCTACTTCCATGGAAAGTTCATGGAGATGAACTACATTCCTTGGTCCAGCCAGGTCAAACGTTCACAGCAAGAACATGCTATGCCACTTACATAGTAGCAAACCACCCACAGTCCCTCCATATACAATTAGTGAGAAGTTCCACTTGAACAGCTTCTTCCAGCAAACCACTGCCAGTGGAACCAACTCCCAATAGGATATTTCCTCCAATCAATAGAATCTTGACCTGTTCAAGGCTAGGGTTAACTTATCTTCCACTCCTAAATACACAAATGACCTCCTAATATAATCCTCTACTTCAAGTGGCCTCTGGGTCTCCTAAAGAGTGAACCATACGGTAGTCAAAAAAAAAAAAAAAAAAAAAAAATATATATATATATATATATATATATATACACACACACACAAAGTAGACATATAGATTAACATATATTTAAGAAAATGTGTACAAATATATAAACACACATAAAACTAACACAACACAGACTAAATCAAACCTTCATTTTTTTCTGATGATTGTGGAAACAAGTAACAAGTCAGGATTTTTCTGCCAGTCAAGGGATCCTTGTCAGATTGCAGCTGGACAAGAGGTCGTGTCTGAAACATATAAAATATATAATAACAAATATGAACAACAAACTTCTTTTTTTTAATCATTTCACCCCAAGCAAGGCAATAAATGCAACTAAGATGAAAGGGATTAGTGGGAGTGAAAGAGAATGAGAAGAATTTTGTCAGGAAAAAGGACAATAAAAAAACTGAATTCAGGAAGACAAAAGATGGCAATTGACATTAAATTTAAAATTTTGAAGATTATAGGTGACAGGGAAACAAGAAACTGGAAGGGTTCCAGAAGCAAGGATTGCAAAAAGAAAGAAACTATTAGAAAAGAACTTATGGTTACAGCTAGCTATTTCAATAGTAAAATGATGAGACCTATCTGCCAATCTAGTAATATGCTTAAATTCATGCACACAAAGTACCAAGGAGGAACTCAGTAGAATAATTGCCATGAAAATATTTATAGAAAAGACAGTGGGTAGTCATGTGTGAGTTATCCCACTTGACTTTTCTAAAAAAAAAAAAAAAAAAAAAAAACAACATTACTATGGGACACTTCTTAATAGGCAATGATATTCTCACATCTCTTTTCCAGCTCTAGCTATAAAATGTAGTCGCAGGTGGGGGGAAAAAGTGTCCTCTACTAGGACACAATGTCTTATTTTTCTCTTGTGACTTTTTGTACTTTCTCGCACACGTCTATCACATAAGCCTACACAAACACATTCACTAATATAAGTACTTTATGAAACTAGTCTTTAAATGTATTCTTCATTTATTGTCATTGTAATTTTTTTTTGTTAATACAGGCATTGTCATTTGTTTTATATTATTTTGTATTACTCATTTATTACTTGAACCCACATTGAGACGGCAATATTGTTACGGAAAAAAATAATACCAGGAGACATGCATTTTCTACCTAAACACAATAAGCATTCCCACAACACATGTCAGGGCAGTGAGAAACCAACTGAAGTTGAGATAACTGGCCAGGATTACATTACAGACCCTTCTTTGGATTTTGTTGAAAATCTTGAGATAGATAGCAAGAGCCCCAGACCAGATATGGCAGCAATATTCAATACATGGATGAATAGTAGATTTATAAATACATAAGATGGATTCTGACAAGAAAAATTATCTGGTGAAACAGTGAACCAACTTTCCTCACTGCAAACCCAGGAATTGCGTCAATATAATCACTCCACTTCAGGTCGATAGAAAACATGAGAGGTGAGTATCAATCATGTTGATGGAACGCAAGACAGGTTCTCTGTGGTGATTAAAAGATTTTTTTGTTTTGGAGGAGTTAAAATGTACAAGTCATTCCTTGCCCCAGTTAACAACTGATTGGAGATCACATTCAAGAGCAGCCGCTAGTTTTACTTTTCTGACCTATTGAACATACTATCTTATGATCAACAAAAAGATTTCCAATTTGTAAATTTTGGAATGCCATCATTTGACCTAATTTTAAAAGTCATCCATATGATTTGTTGAATAGTAACAAAAATAACAAAAATATACCTAAACAAAGATGATATTTAAAACAAAGTCTTGGATAAGACATAACAAAAGAATGGTAATGCTTATTTAGATATGCTTTATAATAAATTAACACTAGCAATATAATGTGAAAGTAGTTTAATGGTTAGCAGCTTGGTAAGAGAAATTGAGGGGCAAAGTTTTTATTCTGGCTGAATTAGTTACATTTACTTTCACAAAAATGCCCTTGGGAAAGGCATGAATCCATCTGTTGTTCTCTCAGCTTATGGGTAAGGCAGACACTGCTCTCTAGCCAAGGAAAAGAAAAACAAAGTTCAACACTTGTTGGTATGCTAACAGGTAGATAGAAGCCTTCTTCAGCCTTGGTTGGCAATTTATGTAGAGATAATGTAGAGATAATGTAGAGATGATGACTTGATAAAGAACACCCACCACACAGTAGCCTAGGCCACTTGTTGGGACATGCCAGCCATAAAACTGCTCACTGCCTGAAATTCTTAAGTCCCATGAGTTGCATAAATCAATCATAAGGTAGTAAATTTAAAAGATGCAAAATATTGGTGTTCTACTGACCTGGTTTTCTGTCAACCATAATGCCTGCAGTTCTTTCAGTTTCACAATACTAAAAGGCAAATGCTTCAATTGGTTATCACTAAGGTTGAGTACACGGAGGTGAGGAATTCGTCCAATTTCATCAGGAATGTACTTCAGCTTGTTGCTCCTCAAAGAGAGCACTGTGATTCCATTACAGCTGCCAATCTGAATTAGTAGACAATAAAAGGAAACAAGAAATTGCAAGAGTAATTGGCAAACATAATTTTTAACTTCAGAACTATCAAGCATTAGGTACTGCAAATTTATTAGTAAAAACTTATATATATATAATATATATATATATATATATATATATATATATATATATATATATATATATGGACTATTAGAATAAATGTACTAATTAAACGTTTACTGGATTGTAAAAAAAAAAAAATATTTTTTAAACTAAGAAAAAAAAATTTAAACTTCATGTTTCACAAAATTAGAATGAAAAACTGATTATAAAATGTAAAATGAAGAACACTAAACAGCTTTGTGAAACCAATGACCAACAGGATGCTTAACTGATCACTACAATCTTAACCTGCTCATGTCTAGGGTTAACTGCTATCTTCCCCAAATATCCCCATAAATTGTGGCTCTTACTCTGTAACCCTCTACCTCTTTGGCCTTGTCGAGGATGAACTTTATTGTAAAAAAAAAAAAAAAAAAAAACTTTATTCACACCCTTCAACATTTTACAAATAAATAATCACAACAAAGTTCTATGCTAACAGTTTCCTCACTTCTTGCTTTCCAGTCAACTTTGATTGCCAAAAATTTAAATACAATGTCAATCATTATCTTCTGTCTCCTTAATTCCTGTCCTTTTATTGTTCTCTCTTCTTAATAATGTTTTTCTTTTACTTATTATTTCATACCTAGTAACTCCTTTGTGTCTTAAGGGATTTATTACCTTGCTTGGAGTGAAATGATTACAAAAAACAAAACAGAATTTAAACTGAAATTCAAATTCTAAAAATTATTTCAACAAAAAAAAAAATAGTGAAATCAGTAATGGGAAGTAAAGCAAATACTTGGATGACGACATCTTTTAATATTTACATGACGTGTGTTAATTTAATTTTATCAAGCTTCATGCTCTCTGTGTGTGTATGTATATATATATATATATATATATATATATATATATATATATATTATATATATATAAAATATATATATATATATATTGTTATATATATATATAATATATATATATATATATATATATATATATATTCAAATGGCTAGTTTGCAATCCTTTAAGGTGGCTAGCCAATCCTTGTTGGAGACACCTGCTCAGGTACATTTGCATTTGTTCAATATCCACATATTTATACTGCAACTATGCTGAGCAGGCTTTAGTTACAGTTTCTAGGAGAAAAGTGCATCATCTGGTATAATCAACGGCCTGAACAAGGTCAGCATGTTCAAACGTTTGATCACAAAGAAAGCACAATCATCAATAGCCTCCAAATATTTCCATCTACTCATTTTCACTCACAAGTCTTGGATCAAATTGTGGTATGGTTTTCAGGCACTTTCTATAGGTGAAGTCACATCCCTAGGCTAATAACATTAAGTAGTCATCTTTCTACCAAATTATGCATGGTGAGATTCATACCCAAGTCAGAAAATGAATGTTCTAACAACTTGGCCATGTGCCTATGAATGAATTTATTTTTAATCAAACATTTTTTTTTATTTCTATAAACGTTATTTACACTCAGACTATTGTCCTCATCTTTGTTATTATCAAAATGTTTATGTTATTGTGCTCTTCAGGTTTCTTCAAATGCTTGTCAATTTTTTGTAATGCCTGCTTGTAGGAGAAACTTTGTAAATCACAGATATAACAATAATAACGCATTCAAACAATACTTGGTCAGATGTGGCTAATTCTCATATATATATTTTTCTTTTACCTGTCACATGATCTAATTATTTCAAGATGAGGTCGACTGTGTTTGCTTTCTAGCGATCAGTGTTCAAATCCAAGTGTTGGCAGCAACACTTTATTCCTATATGACAGAGTTTATGTAACCTTCAAAGAATTTCAAACCAAACTCATTATTAAACTCATAATTTAATTTCTCATTCCACTATTCAGGTCCAGAGATATCTTGGTCTCGAATACAGCTCAGTTATTGCTTGCCCTGTTTGTATTGAGTCTTACTCTGCATTACCTGACCCAGTTATTAAACTGACAATTATAATGTCACCAATTTCACAAATCAACACTTTAATACTTCAGGTTATTGTCCCATGAGACAATCCTGACTCTATAACTTTGCGTCTTAAAACTAATCTGGCTATTGTTGACATTGCAGCTGCTTGTCACACTTGATTATATTCACAAATGCTTCTTTTTTTCATTCTTACTGCTGCTACTAAGCTTTGCTGTCATTTCTGTATTTATTAACAGCTCCCATAATTTACTTATTTCTATGCTAGGGCTACTGAGGAGGCCCTTGTAGCCTAGCAAATGTGCTAATTCCTACAGGTGCCTTACTTTCCGATGTTCTTCCCTGTCTAGTATTTTTATTTCATCCCACAAGGGTTGGTGACTTCCTTTAACCCCCTCCCCGCCCCCACCATACATATCAGTCATGCTTGATTTCAATGTCTCACCCATTCTTATAGTTTTTTTCAATATTTCTCCAACCTTAATTTTAGGATATTTTGTTTCATTTATATTCTTTGCTACAACTATGGGTCATTTCTTACTGAAAGATGTTTGTTTTTGCACTTCTTTGGAACAATGTGTCAGTATCTTCTATTTTTAATATACAATTTACTTGAAAGATGGTGTAAGATATTTTGAAATATTTTTTAATGATGCTATGAATATATAAATAAAAGATTTTATCAAAAAATACTGGAATCTCAACAACATTACAAAACAAACTTTAAAAATCAATGCAAATATCATTAAATTACCTTAACACAAGTTTAAAAGACAAAATCCAAACATTAATGCTAACACTATAAAATCTCAATTCAAACTAAATATAAAAAATATTCATTTGCTAAAAGAAAATAAGTTTTTTCCTTAAATTTTCTGCTGAATTTCTTTTACTGTCTAAGAAATAACTAAAAGAACAAATTTTTCCAAAACCATTTTTAAAAAAAAAAATACAAAAATAAGATAAAAAAATGTAACTGAAGTTGGAAATCTTTTCCAAACCTCTGGAGGAATGACTTCGAGGTAGTTTTCATCAGCATATATGGTTCGTAGGTTCCTGAGTAGGCCAATAGTGGAAGGAATTTCCACCAAGTCATTTGTACTGATATTCAATTCTGAGAGAGCAGACAAACTGCAAGGTAAAAGAAACAAAAAAAAATCACAGCGTATCTTGAATAAATCTTATTCTTCTATAGCTGGATTATGTAAAGAATAAAATCGGCACTATTTAAATATATTGGTCCACTCATCCAAGAAATAGGGAAACATTCTCAGGAAATAATTTTTATAGTTAACATAATTGTCAGAATAAAAATTTTTATAATATTGATACAGTGTAAAATTGTTCACTGACATTTTACAGAATTATTTGGACCTAGTTGTTCTGCAGACAAAGAAACGTTTTTAACAATAAGATTTCTTTCAAATAAAGAATAAAAGAAGACATACATTTTTAATTAAAGAACAAAAAAAAAAAAATACATAAATTAATACCATATATCTATTTATCATTAAGGTAATTATTAACCACCAAAATTTGTGCCTGTTTAAAAAATATCACAAAAAAGATTAAAAAGAAAAAAGTTTTAAAAATTTAGAAAAAAATATGCACATATCAATGACATGAGCACATTTTAAAACTTGACATTTGTAACTAAGTCCAGATAACTCTGTAAAAAGTCAAGTATCAAATTGTGACTGTATTTACATTATCAACAGGATCCACGAAAAAAAAATATTTTTTCAATTCTTTCAATTCTAATAATTGTGGCTTAAGAATTGTCTAAAAAATTATTACCCAAAATATATTTCCTTATTTTTAATGAGCAAATTGGTCAAATTAAGTAACACCAACACATTTTATGACATCCACAAGTTTTCCTTTTCATGGTTAGAGAGAAGGCAGATATAACAATTATATACTTTGTTAGCATGTTCTCTTTATAGAAAATAAAAAAAAAATAATTTACATTCTTCCAATTTTTCCCTAACCATCTTTATATCTTAATTATTACTATGTAGGTAATTTGCTTTTAATTTTGGGGATCTCTACCAACAGAAGATGTTACCAAGGCCACCCACATATTTGGTAAATCTAACAATATGATATACATATCTATATATCACACTAATATTGACTAATTTATTGAAAAATAGAAAAAACTCCTACATGACATTTCTTCCCCTCAGTTTATGTCTTCACATACACCTGTCACAAACATCAACTACTTTTAGGATGCATCTGAGGTCTGCCAAATTAGAGATACTACTGGCTGCTCTCTGTCAGCACCTCCTGAAGATGAAAACATATCAAGACTTGTCATAATGATTTGAGGCAAGGTCTTACAAGGATGGATGCTCTCCCTGGCACTCCACTCAGACACTCACAGTAGCCCAAGTATACTAAGTGTTTTATTCGAGAGACCATCTCTAGAAACATTGCCATTCAAAGCTTGAAGACCCCTATCCAAGCCTTTTAGGAATTTGTGTAAAGAGGCATTAGCCAAATGCTCCACAGTAGCATCTAACTGTACTAGGTATTGCTAACCATTGGTTCTGCTGGAGAACTCATGCACATGCCGAAGGAAGCTGTGCTGATCAAACAGCCTGATGCAGACAGCAACTGCAATCCATCAGCCTGCTGCCACTGGTTTCACCGTATCCCTGGCATGAACAACCAAAATATAACTATCAACATTTGCAGCTATTCTTTTATTTGTATACTTTGAAAAGGCAATTCCCCCCCCCCCAATACATTTTTTACTTTTTATAGTATTTTTTCATTGGAAACTTACCAGGAACAAATGAAATCTATTTTGTTTCCTTTCTTTTTTTTTTTTATGCTATCGACTCTGAAGTGTTGGTGACATTGAAACTTGACACATGTAAATAAGAGATTTACATCAGCAACAAAGATTGTAGAATAAGTATTTCATCGTAATATTTCATTACTTCAACTTGTATAAGTAATATGGATCAAATTTAATTATATTTTCATTCATAAAGCAAACCAACTAACCAACAGTACTAAGGAATCATTTTAATGTCATTTGTAACATGGCAATGGCCCTTACTGAGCCATATCAGTGCATAAACTATTGTTTGGTGACTTTGTAATCCTGAGCAAAGGAGTAGAGATATTAGATGGAGAAAAATATGAAAGAGTGGTGAATCAGGTTGGAAGCTGATGAAAAAAGTTTGGTTTAAAAATATTAATTTGAACCTGTAAAATACTTGTGAGGGAGGCATCAAGATAATTTGAACCTAAAATAAGCCAAGTAAGATTTAGTAAAATGCAGTATAACTGAAATTCCCAACCCAGACCTACAGTCCCGAAGAAGTCATGATGAAGTGATTGTATTTGTCAAAATTCTGCAAAACCCAGATGGAATTGGGAAACATTATTTTAAAAACCTATCCTGCAAATGTGCATAAAAAGATTACGGAAATGTTTAGTCTTGACCATTTTAGAAGAATGAGCTACATGCAATGCTAATAAGGTCTTTGTTTTGCAAAAAGGGCTTTTCTGTGGATACTTAATTAATCAAACTCCCTGGTCGCACCAATATACTTATAAGTGCATACATATGCCATTTTACTGAGTTCACATCTGGCAGCTAAGGGACAACATTGTCATCTGTTTTCATCAAAATTCTAGCAGCAGCAATGTTAGCAGCACACCCACATTTCACCCATTAGTCTCAATGCCACAAGCGAAGAAAAGAATTTACTGAAGTCGAACTGCATGAGTGTGATGGTTACAACTTTTATATATTCTCATCATTAATAAATTGTTGGTAGCTTTATGAATAGAGTTTGCTCTTTCTGCTAGATCTTTCTACCTTTCAGGAAGGTCACCTGAATTAAGAAAGTCGTTAAGACTGAAACAATACTGGAACCACAAAACTAAAATCCATGGCCTATCAGAATGAATAAGACATTGCACAGAACAACATGAAGGAAGATAGGTCCAGTGAGGGACAGAAATGATGGAAATAGCCACAGCACTGAACTGTAATACTGTGGATCGTGATTATCAGCTAAAGTTTATATTAAACATACTGTGATTTGACCACCAAATGCACAGTATTTGGGTGCTGCTCCATTTTTTTTTTATTATCTTTGGTTCTATGAAGGTATAAGATAACCTTGTGTTATACATTGACCATTCTTTAACATTTATGTAGTGTAGACTGTACTTCAAATAGCTTTAGTTGAATCTTGAGAGAAAGTAATTTCATTACCAATCTTTGACTAGTCTTCTTTTTCTTTTTTTCACTCCCTAATCCAAGCTGATTAAGGTATCATGTACAAAAAGTAGCTCTTGAAATATGAGATACAAGTTCAAATCTTGTCAAACTATTTTTTTCTTATCTCACACTCCTTATTTTATGGTCTGGTAATGATCAGCCAGATGTGAATTAGTGAATAGATTTAAAAAAAAATAAAAAAGTTAAAAGACTAACCAAAAATTGATAAAAAAAAATAACATCATTGTCAAAATGTGTAACATTTACATTTTAGTAACTTAATTTTTTTTTGTTCATCAAATTAAAAACTGTTCAGAAATTTTCAGACAGAAAAGCAGTTTAAATCTTTACTCTGTATTTTGATTTCAAATGTGTCCTAATTTTCTTGTAAAATTCTTTCTTAAAAGTGTAACTCAGAAAACGCTGTAAAAAAAAAAAAAAAAAGTTTTCCTCTTCTACAAAAATAATCACTCTTCAAACTAATAAAAGTCCATTAACAAAATTAATCGACATAAATCATTTAAAGTCATTAACTTTAAAAAAAAAAAAAAAAAATCTGACTAAAAATTAATAAATGAAGAACAAAAATTAGCTGAATCTTCTCCACATTTCATGTTAAAATCAAATATGTACGATATCCTATTAATTGCCTCCCACACCCAGGTTTTTTTTTTTTTTTTTTTTGCAGGAGGGGGTACTCATTACCCAGAATACAAATAACAAAACTGTTATCTTTGGTTGTTTGAGGCAAGACTTAAAATGAAGATTTATTACCACTCACTGAAGATATGTTTCTTCCTTATCTGAAATTCTTGACCATGTCATAAACAACTCTAAAGCTGTTTACAAACATTTTTAACATGATGTAGTCAAAAAGCCTTTTTTTATTCAATTTGATACTACAGATGATGAAAAAAGAAAAGTTTGCTTATTAATAGGTAATGGGCTTCAATTATTACCTCCTTTTTAATGAGCAAACCTTTAAAAAAAATTTTTATCTTCAAGGTGCAGCTGAAGGGTTACAGAGCAGGTTAGATGAATGTTTTAATGATTCTTATGGATTAGCAGTCCTTACTGCTTCTTTTATTATAACAAAAACAACAAAGCAGAGGATTCTTATCTAAAAGACTCGCTGAACAGTTACAAAACCTCATTTCAGTAATTCCAGATAGAAATCTATCTTTCATTTTATATTGGCTTAGTGATACATTATGAGGGAATCATATTGAAGACAAATATCTTTTTCCCAAACTTCACAGCACAATTGTCAATTATCATTTTGCCTTTTTCCATAGTTTATTGCAAGGATATACATTTATTTCTACAACCAGATGCCCTCTCTTATGTTAAATTAAAATTTAAATACACAGAAATTAAAAAGTTTGCAATCAAGAGTTTTTTTTAAAACACTAATCTGGTAAGTGGTACTACAAAATTTTAACAGCCTATCAGTTGAAGGAAAATCTGTTAAAATGACTATACAACCTTCATTCAACTAGATGGAGTGAGTGATTTGTTTTTTATGGCTTATCAACCTTTCATGCATTATTTAAAGCCAGAAAATATTCTTTTTTAAATTGTAAGAATTTTTTGGAGATGATGATTTTTATTGATACAAGTTCTACTAATTAACTCATAGATTGGAAGAAACGAGGTGGATTCATGCCTTTCCCAAGGGTATTTGCCCAGAAGTGTTTGTTTGTTTTTTTTTAATAATGATGTTCACCCTGTACAAGGACCAAGAGCCATTTGAGGTAAAGGCACAGTTTATGGAGATATGTGGGGGGAAGATAAATCTTGACCAAGATTTGAATAGGTTAAGATTCCAGTGATTGAGGAAGCATCCACTTGAGAGTTGGTTCCACAAAGCAGCAGTTTGTCTGAACTCACCAATGTAATATGAAAATATAATGAACCCAACCAGAATTGGAACTCAGCTCTCTAATTTCCAATTCCGAGCTGTTATCCATTACACCACCCATACACACAATCTTACAACAACTGGTATTCTAGAGCAATCAGCCATTTAGGTAATGACCAGGCTTGATATTGCTTAATTTGTGTGTTCATTCTGAAACCAGTGTTTCAATGTGATATGGCCATCAATTGGATGAAGCCATAGTTGTGAGAAGCTCAGCTCTTATTATCACCCCATTATCAAAATGAACAGAACTAAAGAAATGATGATCTCTAACTTTATTTCCTTATATTTGTCATTCTAATGTTTGTATAGCGACATATCAACTCCTTATGGGTCATTTAATGCCAAAATTTAATTTTCTTGAGAGCATTAGTAATTTCATTTACAAAAATTTATTGCTGGTAATTTTTTTTTTTTTACTAAAAATGTATGTAATGTATTGCTTGTATTTTTATACTTTCATAGTGTTTTGATCCAAGTTTGGGGGTTAACTATTTGCCTGTAGTTGGGACACAAACAGGTGCTACCAACCGGGGATCAGGGTGACCCTGAGAACAACAGTAATTAACAGGTTGTTACCTGCTCCTCAAAACCTCCCAATCGGAGACCTTGCTGCCAGATGTAGTTTACTGTCAATACCCACGACATCATTCTAATGAAGTGAGGTCATTATTCGACTAATTATTTAAATTAATATCATCATCATCATTTTTTTTTAATCTTTGCTTTTAGTAAATGTGCTCTCTAACCTTTCTCATTACTGTCTAAAGTTCTGAAATGAACTATTATTGAAATAGATTTGAAATGGCATTCTTATCTTAATCCAGCTACACTAATCGAATAAGCTTTGAGAATCCATAAACAGGAAACTTTATCTTGTTTATAAGGTTTGCTTGCTCTTATACTTACCCAAAATTACATATTTTACATATGAACAACAAATATTAATTTACATTCTGGGTTGCTGAAATGGTATAAATTTAAAATGGGAATCAGATAAAAAAAATTCTGTTAAAAGACCCTTACCAGAGATGAGGATTGTTTTGTTTTGTTTTACTGCATATCAACCTCAATGGGTTATTTAATGCAGACAAAATTTTTATTGCTGGTAATTTTTTTTTTTTTTTTTTTTTCAAAAAAAATTTTCCTTCAAAAATCTATTTCTGGTAATATTTTTTCTTCAAAAATTGCTGGTAATATTTTTTTTCAAAAAAAAAAAAATATAGCTGGCAAAATTGTTTTTCAAAAATGTATTGCTGGTAATAATGTATTTGCTGGCAATAATCCCTTTCTTCAAAAACTTATTGCTGGTAATAACTTTTTTACAAAGTATTTCTGGTATTAAAACCTATTTTTACACTTTCATAGTTTTGATCCCAGTTTGGGGTTGACTATTTACCCATAGCTGGGACCCTAACAGGTGCTACCACCCCAGGTAAGGGTGGACCTGGGAACACCAGCAATTATGATGTGGTTCCATGCTGCTCAAAACCTCCTGATCAGAGGCCTTGCTGTTGGATGTAGTTTATCGTCTTACCCAGGACACGGATGTAGTTTATTGTCATACCCAGAATGGACCAGAGAGCACTCTGGTCAGAATGTAGTGATCAAAACAAAGATGAGGATAACAGAATAATCAATAGAATTCAATTGATTGCTTCATTTTTTATGAATTATCAACTCTTTACAGGTAATTTAAAATCAGAAAATATTTCTAGATTGTACGAATTTTTTTTTTTTTTTTTGATATAATAATGGTTTAGTGATACAAATTTTACTAATTAACCCACAGCTGGTGGGAGAAGAGGTTGATTCATACCTTTCCCAAAGGTATTTGCGTATAAGTGAATATAACAAACCTAACTGGAATTAGAACTCAGCTCTCCAATTAACAATTCTGAGCCATTATCCATTACGCACATGCATATTCAAGCTTACAATATCTGGTATTTCCAAGCAGTCAACCATCTAGGTACTAACCAGGCTCGACATTGCTTAACTTTGGTGATCATACTGGAACCAAGGTTCAATGTGATGTAACTGTAAGCCTAATAGAATTCAAATAATCTTTATCTGAGCATTTCAGACAATAATAGAAAAGCCAGAGAAAAAACTCATCAACATATAATCATCAAAATAACAAAAGGAAAATGCCACTTGTAGTAATAGATGGAATTATAAAAGATCCTCTCAAATCGACCTAATCTTTCCCAGTTTGGAAGAAGGCCAATATTCAGAGGGAAACAAAATATTTTTCAATAAGAAACAAAAGAATAAAATTTATCTTACTTGCCAATCGATGCTGGTAGATTAATAATCATATTATCATCGACTTTGAGAGTTGTGAGGTTAACTAACTGGCCTGGAAAGCAAATATCAAAACATTGTTTATTTTTTTATCGCTGAAGATAAAACCAAAAAATTATCTGTTAACTTGGAGAAAAAAAAATAATACTTCAAGATTTCAATCTTGTGAAATAGACTAAAACAAAAAATTCTTTTTAAACTAACAATTATGAAGGCATAAAACACTGTTAACTATTATCTTGTTTTTGTCTTATAAACTTAAGGCAGGGACAAATGAATTTTTTGCTCTGATTTTCACAGATAGCTAAAAAGATAGTGGTGAGATTTGGGAGATAAAAGGACAATAAAATGTCTACATCAGATTAAAATGCAGACAGCATCATATTTTAAAATTGATTGGAAGCAATGTTTGAAAAAGTGATTTTATAGTTTTCTATAGTTTTTATATTTCTGATAAAGACTGTTTCATTTAATACAAGTTCATGTAATTCATAATATCTACACAATTAAAATTTTAAAATATCTAAAAAAATGTGGTAGCTGCTCTCTGGAAAAAAAAATCTTCCTACAATATTTAAGAAACCAAAAACTGGATTAGCACTGAATAAAATTTCTATTAAAACAAGACTGGAAAATTGAACAATACAAAATTTTTTTCTTTTTTAAAATAATTAAGAAAAAATTTGAAATGATCATATTAACAATAGATTAAAGAGAAAAATTAAATGATTAAAAAAACCATGTCAAAATCTCAGATGAAAAAGAAGTGTTTATAAATTGGAGGCACAGTGGAGTAATGGATAACAGCTCGGATTGAGGAATCGGAGAACCGAGTTTAAATTCCAGTCGAACCCATTATATTCACTTACATGCTAATACCCTTGGAAAATACCTCTCCCCCAACTATGGGTAAATAGCAGGACAGAGCAGGTGGATGGCAACTGGTCTACCACAGAAAGAAATGGCAAACTACTGCGGGAAAAAATCTGCCTCGTCAGTCATATTTTGAAAGATACATGATTGCCTAAGCATATATCACGCATGGCATATAACTGACTTTTTATAAATTGGAAAATTTCATGAAAAATTCCAAATAAATCAATACTGCTTATCATACAAGCCCCCCCCCCCAAAAAAAATTTTTAAATATATATAAGGTGATGCTGAAAAGTCCTTGGCTCAACCAAAATGTTCTTAAAAATATAAAATAAAATCTTTTTTCTCAGATATATGAAGTGGGTTGCACCAAGAAGTCTTCTGCGGCCACTTATATAAGATGCACACACACACACACATATATATATATATATATATATATGTGCATGTACACACAACTGTTGTTATCAGCACAGAAAGTGGGACAAGGAATCCAAATTTCAAAAGATATGTGAAAGGTACTAATCCATCTCTTCTCTTGCCAGCTACAATTTAAATAGTATAGTGAACTGAGCTGACAAGCCTTGGTTGGAAGGATAACATTAAATTCAACTCTAACCCATAAAAACCCTACTTGCTATAAAAACCACAGAAACAACACTAGTGGTGCAAGGCTGTGACCCTATAATCCACATGGAGGGTTAATTTCTCACTTGATATATATATATATATATATATATATATATATATATATATATATATATATATATATATATATATAAAAACAAAACACATAAGACAATGTTAGAAGTTCTTGACCTGTGCTACAATTGGTCACAAATATCAAATTAAAAACTTGGTATCCCAATATTTTTTAGTAACATTTCAGATGCAAGAGAGAAGAGAAAGGTAACTCCTCAAAAAATAAACTGAAACTTATGAGTAAATATTACAAGTTTAGTTTAGCACAAAGCCTGCAAGTATGAATTAAACTTGTGATAGTAATAATAGTCTGTAAGATCTGCTTAAGCACTAGTTGATGGTAAGACATCCAAACTATATTTGTCAGAGGTACTGAACATATGAGTAATGAAGAAGATTTTAGGAAAATGGAAATAAAACAGATGCTTATACTTAAAATCAGAAACATTTTCTTGAACACATAAGGAAAGAGGGCTTGAAGAATCTGACACTCACAAGACATATTGAAGACAAGAGGGATAGGGGAAAGCAGTGAGTAACCTATCTAACAATTTTGTGTAAATGGATGGGAAAACATGGATTCAGCAAGATAAACCTTACGAAAAGCTACAAAGTCCACAAAGTTATTGAAAACCTTGATGTTCCATGTCCTGAAAGGACACGTCACACAGAAGAAGAGTCATAAGCAACTTGAAAGTTAAATATATCTCAAGTTACAAAAAGAGATTCCAATTATTTTTTTAAACTTTTGCTTATAAATAATAAAAATCTCCTGTATGGAAAAGGGAAGATTATTTTTCTTGAAAGCAACTTTATTTTTATTTGAATATCAAGTCCTCAATCTTCCTATGTGGCAGTAAATGCTGGACAATTTCCTCATGGATGAAGAGACCTGAAGCAACAAGTGAGATTCTACAGAAGGATGCTGAGAAAACCCTGAAGAACATGTCAGCCAACACAAAGTTTTAGAGAAAATGGAAACAAAAAGACATCAGGAAGAGACATTTGAAATAACGAGGGAACAGGATTTGGAAAATTTGATATAAGACAAGTGGGACAGAGGAAAACAATGCATAACCCTACCTCGTGGGCTTCAGTAAATGAATGGTAGAACAGGATTTAGGAGAGATAACAAAAAATAAGATTTATTAAGAGCTACAAAGGACAAGAAATTGTGGAGAGCCATGACCATCACATAGAAGAGGAAGAGTGAGATGATTAAATTAACTAAAAGACCTTTATAACATTGGATACGAAGATCACAATGTGTTGATAGCAGAATCAGAAAGAAAACTGAAACAACAAGAACTGCCTTGTCTCATAGGAAAGCAAGAAGAAAGGACTAAACACTAATTGTACAAAGAAAAAAATATATTGCGTGAACCATGTATCCTTTCACTGCCATGTGTTATGCATGCTTGGGCAATCATTTCTCTTTTCAATCCATGATTGACTTGACAGAAAATTTCAGAAGGCTGCCATTACTTTCTGCAGTAGACTTGTTTGCCAACCATGGCAATAGGACCTCGTCTATCCTCCTATTTAACTCACAGCTGAAGGAGAGAAGAGATGGATTCTTACCTTTCCCAAGGGTATTTGTGAATGTAATGAACTCGACTGGATTTAGGACTCAGCTCTCTGACTTTTAGTTCTAATATTCAAAGATTATGTCTATAAAAGCTGAGTAAATTGGGATAATGACATGATCAACACTATTCACTAACAATTTTTCACCTCTTTGTTTTCAATTTGAATATTATTATTATTATTATTATATTCCATTGAATGTATTGCCTGAAGTTCCGGAATAAAGCATAGAAATTATCTGATTACTTACTCAGATTAAAACACAGTTGTTGTTTCTATCATACTATATCACATCTTAGGATATTTGGTTTTTCCTCTGAACATGCAGTAACCTTAAGTTTTTCCTACAATTTTTCTAACTAGACAAGTGACAAAGATTCTACAATCACTTTAGAAGTGGAAATGTCTAGAAAAATTATTGCATACCGGAGAACTGATCAGCCAAAATTTAATTAACAAAAATCAGTCAGTTAAGTGCCATATGGGATCCACGATTGGGCAATTATATCTCTTTCAATTCATGACTGACTAGGCAGAAGATTTCCCGCAATAGGTTGCCATTTCTTTCTGCAGTAGACAGGTTGCCAGCCAAGGCTATAGGACCTAGTCTATCCTCCTATTTAACTCACAGTTGAAGGGGAGAAGAAATGGATTCTTACCATTCCCAAGGGTATTTGCTTGTAAGTGAATGTAACAAAATCAAACTCTGCTTATTACAGGACTGTTATCCATAACACGTCCCATGCATCTAACATAGATTGTTTTAATAAGATGCTGCATTCATAAAACTGAAAACTTATTAATTCAAAATTTTAAGGAGGCTAGGGAAAAAACATTTAAAAAAATAAAATTATATAACCCACCTATAGAGTCAGGTAATGACTTTATATTATTACATGTGAGATAAAGATCTGCCAGAGATGAGCACCCTTCTATTGCAGAAGGTAGAGTCTCAAGACGGTTTTTTGATGCATCCATGAATATTAGCTGCTTCAAATTTCCCATGGCCTGCAGAAAACAGAAAGAAAAAAAATAAATGAATTCTAGAAAACAGAAAGAAAAAAAATAAATGAATTCTAGAAAAGATCTTTCAATTCTTTTAAGATGGCAAATGCAAATATTTAACTGCAGACAAAAAAACAAAAAACTCACAAAATATTCAAAGTCATTTGTTTTTAAGTTTTACAATAAACAGCTGATATTAAAGAAATAAAATATTCTTTTAGACATCTGCATATGTGCATATCTGCAATAAGATATACATATGTACAATACATATAAATATGTACATATCTGCAACAAGAGGAAAATAAAAATCCAATATTTAATGAATGATTGTCTTAACCATTGTTAAATCTCTATATTTTGGCTGGTGGGATTTTCCATCTTTCCTCAGGAGTATGTTGTGCACAATTATTGTCAACTTAATCCCACTTACTATCTCTACTTTACAGATGCTATTCAATACAAATTCATCAGACACCACAAAATTTACTTTAGCAAATAATTTTATTCTTGATTGATCAGTGTCAAGTTAAGAAAAATGATGATATTAGATCAATTAAAACATTACTGACAAAACATTTTTCAAAATTGGAGACAAGAGAAAAACTTCATTATCTACACAAAAACAATCGTTTTCCAACATATAGGAACTATTTATGGGGTCTCCTAAAATAAAAAATATTATGAAGATTAAGAATTGACAACTATGGGCACAAGTCTGTCAGGCTGTCAGCTGACACAACCCCATCAGGCTAAAAACAGACACTACACCCATAGGCTAACAACAAACCCAACTTCAAATGACTAATAGCCAAAACAACTCTCAACAAAGTAAACCCCAATGAATATCTTACCAATAAAAATTTGCCCATCACACAAAGGAGAATACCCCAATGAAGAGTCCAGCTGTTAAAATTTCATTCATTAAAAATCTAACAATATCTTTTGTTCAAAGTTACTCAATGGATTAATGATATTTGAGATGGTTAAAAACCATTAGACTGTTGTGATTAGACATTAACGTAGCTCAACATGTCCCAAAGGCAAATTATATAATTTCAGACATGTCAGATTTAACTATTTCTCTGAATGCTTTTACCAAAGTCTTGAATGACTTAGAGAAATTATTTTGAGATTTATCTATAAACCAATGCAAATATATCATTAAAATTGAATAATGAAAACTCTAAGACATGGTCTTCAAGATTAAGATCAATTTATACTTACTGAAGATATTTTCTCTATTTTATTTTGATCACACCAGAGTTCCAATAAACTGACCAAGCCTCCAATTGCTTCAGGCTGTAAAACAGATTTAGATAGGTTATTTTACTGGCACACTAACCCCACAGATTTTTTTCATGACGAATCTGGTAGTTTGTTTTTATTTTGTAGTCATTATTATATAAGGGTGGGGATGTAATTTGGTTTTAGTTGCATTTTGTAGCCCTGCAAAACAAAAAATCTTCTAATAACAATGTCCAGATGACTTTAAATTTCTCAATATACAATAAATTTGTATTTCAAACACCCCTCTGAAAAATTGTCCATATATAAGGAAATGCTGAAAAATTTTGAACATCTGACTGAATATCAAAATATTTTTTGCTTAGGCAGACTGAGAACATTCAGCACTTTGTATAATTGAAACTTATATACAAAATGAAAGCACTTGTTTTATCAGGTTAAAATTTACAAGAAAACATTAGTTGAAAAATAGTCATATGCATGATTTGGTTTTGCTTTCATTCAAATTTTAAAGACAAGAAAACTCAAGGAAAATAAAGTGTCAGTTAACAGCAGAGAGTAAACAAGAACTGGAGGAAGTAAACTTGTCTTGGAGAGACATCAAGCCCAAGAAAAGGTCCTTCTGTTCTTTCTGAATTATCAAAGCTATTTTTAAACCACATTGCTTCCTCTGTGATATTTTTTTCAGAGGTTAATATCCTTAAAAGTATATCTTTTTGACAAAATGACAATTAGATGCTATCTTTTGGTCTAGAAATTAAATATTTTTTTCAAAGTTGGTTATGATTATGAATTTGATATATATAAAGATATTAAATACATACTTTGGTAACCTTAATATATAAATTCACATGAACTTTTCATCATATACTGAGAGATAAAAGCTTGTCTTTATAAGAGAAAAAAAGCAATAAATGTATTTGAATGAACTCACCAATTCCGTCAGTGCATTATTACCTATATCTAACCGTTCCAACTCAACAAGGCGTGAAAATGACTTTGGCAATGTCTTCAAATGGTTCTCTCGAATCTCAAGAATTTTAAGTTTGCTAAGTCTACAAAAAAAGTAAAACAATAATAAAAAAAAATAAGACTTGAAATTTCTAGGGTACATAATGAGGAAAGAGGGCTTGGAAAATTTAACAGTCACAAGTCATACTGAAGGCAAGAGGGACAGAAAAAAAAAAGTACATCACCTACCTAATGAGCTTGTGTAAATAGATGGCAGAAAAGGATTTAAGAAAAATAACAAGACAAAATTTATTAAGAGCCACAAAGGACAAGATATTGTGGAGAGCTTATGATTGCCAATGTTCTGAAGAGACATTGCAATATAGAAGAAGAAACAGTAAGTAGTCTTCAGTTATTTTTTTTTGTTCTTTTTCTTTGTGTGTGTCTGGTATTTGTATGAAAGTAAGACTATAAGTATTTGCTTTGTCATATCAATTTGGGTGGGGAACAAACCTGAAAGATAAGAAAATTCACCTTCAAAAAGAACTGTTTTAAAACAATTTAGATTCAAAAGTAATGGTTTTAATTGGCTAAGTAATGATTTTCTGGACATTTACAATTCTGTTGGAAACTTGCACATGAAGGTTATATCTTACAATTCAAGTCTGTCCTACTATTTTACCCATAACTGGAGGGAGAAGAAATGGATTCATACCTTTCCCAAGGGTATTATCACCCTCGTGAATGTAATGAACTTGACTGGAATTCTAACTTGGCTTTTCAATTCTACTATCCATTAATCTACCATGCTTCCGTGTGTGTGTATATTATATATATATATATATATATATATATATATATACACACACCTCCATAGAAAAGTGATACCTAAGATTTAAAATGAATTTTTTAAAATGAAAAATCTTCAAACTTTTATTTTAAGCTAATAAATCAAATTTAATATTTGCAATAAGCAAAATACTTTTGAAAGTAAAAAAAAAAAAAAGAAATGAACTCATTTTAATCAATTTAGTTGGAAGGGGCAATTTAAAAAAAAAAACAAAAAAAAACAATTTACTCTTAGCATGACATAATTCTCTTTATTAAAATGTCTTTTAAAAATAAAATATACTTTTCTGATTTAATCAACCTAATTTGAAACAAACATTGCTTTTAGTTTAAAATATTACAGAAAAGCATTTTTTAACATGATGGTGAGTGTTTTTATAAGGTGTTGACAGCTCTATGAATAGCCTGATGTTTTTTTCTATGGGGGGATGGGGAGACATCGATAAAAATTACTTGATGAATATAAAATGACATATAATGTATATATAATCAGGGCAGTGCTTACACTGAATAAAGTAGATCAGCAACTGCATTTTCCTTCTGTGGCACAATATGCACTTAATCCAACAAAATTATGAAAGTTTCTCTGATTATTATGCATAAAATGCAAAATATTTTTTTTTTTTGTAGATTTACTACATAAAGGTTACAAGCTGCCTACCCAGAGTAATTACCAATGTCACATACCTTATATATATATATTACACAAACAGGTAGGGAGAGAGAGATATAAAACATTTTTACAATCTTTGCATATATAATTTTCATAAATCTGTGTCTACAATATGGAAAATGATATGTAAGGGATGAAAGGGCATCAAAAATCTTCATGTACACCAAACTGCATGATGATTCTTGGAAAGTAGGAATAATCTTGTTGAGGTACAAGGAAAAGCTTAAGCAAGACCTAAATTGTATTGACATCCCTCTGTCATACTTCTGATCATGTCAAGTGGAGGAGATGACCATGTTCATAAAAGGCATTACAACTTTTGAAAGGTGATACATTGAATATCTACACATCACAAGGCAGAACACTGAAGTCTAACATTCTGACCTTAAAAGTTCAACATGCTGTTGAACTCTCATATGTTGAAAACAACAGGAGAGTTCAGCATTATATATAAGTATTTATTATAGACATACCCAGTACTCATAACCAATGTTCCAATATGATATTGCTGAGACTAATACTTTCTTATCTCCATATATCTAAAATGATATATAATTTATAATTATTATAACTATAATTTTTGAAAGTTTTCATTTGAAATTTGGTGTTGTCTCAGTATGCCATGATGTCAAACTGAATTATAACCAATAAAAATGGTATTCAAGCAACAGATTTTAGTATCATGGTCAGCAGATATTTCTTTCGTAATCTGGTCATCCACCTGTCTTCTACTTAATGACAGGTATTCTTCTGATGTCCTACTGGAGGTTAACTACTCAAATGGTGCAACTGGCCAAAAAAAAAAAAAAAAAAAAAAAAGGGAAGCAGAGAAGAAATTAATTCTCCATTGTTAAAAATAAGTTACTTCTGCCAAAGTTGGATTAGGTGGGATAGTTGGTTGATTTTGTTCATCGGCATATCAACCTCTATGGGTTATTTAACACTGAAATCTAAATATTTTGAACACAATTTCATGCCTTCAGCTATAGATAAAATGTATTGTTGGTGATTTTTATGATATTGTTTAATGTAGTACTCTATATATTGTTGGTATTTTTATTTTTATTTTTTTTTTTGCATAAAAGTGTATTGTTGGTAATTTTTACTATACAAATGTATTTTTATAGTCATAGTTTTGGTTGAGGGTTCACTATTTGCCCATATATAGGACCCTAACAGGTGCTACCACCCAGATTCAAAGTGGATCTTGGAACAACAACAATTAAGAGATGGTTCCATGCTCTTCAAACACCAGTCTCCCAATCAGAGACCTAGGATCAGGATAAGGATGACAGTGATATGAGACAAGAAAAGAACATTCTCTGTAAAACTTGCAAACCACACAAAAGTAGACATTGAAGAGAGGTTGGTTTTGTGACACTTATTCAATAATGGAAGAAGTAGTTTCTTACTTAACCAAAATATTGACAATGTTTTATCTACTATTACCAAAGTCAATTTCAACTTACCTGCCAAAATTACCAGGAAGATAATCCAAGAAGGTATCATTTAGATAGAGTTCACGTAAATTTAAAAGTTGTGTTATACCATCTGGAATTCTGTTAAAGAAATTAAAAATTCCATTAGGACAAAAGTATTATGATGACATAAGTTTTTAAAACTCAAAGTTACAAGAATAAAAGTTCTTAAAATAGCAAATCAATTATTTACAATTTTTAATGTTTGGTAGCCACAACAGACTAAAAGTTGTTTAGTCTGTCATGACAGTGCGTGTTTTTTTTTTCTCTCTGCATACAAACACATAAATAACCAATAATAATGAAAAACTTTTAGAAATGATAGCTCCAAAAGTCTGATCTCATTATCATAAGACATTATTAGTACCAAATAAACTCACCAAAACATGCTTATAAACAGATGTAAAGACATACATGTTGTATATAAATATACAAGGTCTGTGATAGTCACACATTACTCACAAGTACAAAAAAGCTACATAAAAGAAAATATTTTTAAATGTCAGTTTTTATTTTTCAGTCTGGTCAACTTCTAAAATCACACAATTTGCTTAGTCTGACAGTCAACTTCTAAAATCACACAATTTGCTTAGTCTGACAGTCAACTTCTAAAATCACACAATTTGCTAAAAACTCTAAAATCACAAATTTGTATTTGCTTTGCTTAGTCTGACAGTCAACTTCTAAAATCACACAATTTGCTTAGTCTGACAGTCAACTTCAAAATCACACATTTGTTAGTCTGACAGTCAACTTCTAAAATCACACAATTTGCTTAGTCTGACAGTCAACTTCTAAAATCACACAATTTGCTTAGTCTGACAGTCAACTTCTAAAATCACACAATTTGCTTTAGTCTGACAGTCAACTTTGCTTTGTTTAGTCTGACAGTCAACTTCTAAAATCACACAATTTGCTTAGTCTGACAGTCAACTTCTAAAATCACACAATTTGCTTAGTCTGACAGTCAACTTCTAAAATCACACAATTTGCTTAGTCTGACAGTCAACTTCTAAAATCACACAATTTGCTTAGTCTGACAGTCAACTTCTAAAATCACACAATTTGCTTAGTCTGACAGTCAACTTCTTTGCTTAACAGTCAACTTCTAAAATCACATTTGCTTAGTCTGACAGTCAACTTCTAAAATCACAAATTTGCTTAGTCTGACAGTCAACTTCTAAAATCACACAATTTGCTTAGTCACAATTCTAAAATTTTGCTTAGTCTGACAGTCAACTGAAAATCAGTCAACTTCTAAAATCACACAATTTGCTTAGTCTGACAGTCAACTTCTAAAATCACACAATTTGGTTAATCCTATAGTTGATTTCTAAAATCAAAGTTTAATTATTAATAACCTCTCTTGTGTAGATAAAAAAATGAACACCTTTTTAGAGTTAAAATACCTAAAAGTGAGCACACAAAAATATGCTGACATCTTTCCTCAACAAAACTGCTATAAAAAAATATATGTATGTACAGAGAGGGGTGAGTATACAACCCCTGTTCCCTACACATGGGTTGTGTTATTGAAAGGAGAATCTTTTGCCAGTTTTCACAGGAGCAGTAATCAGAGGAAGAGATACAAATTTTTCACTGGCAGACACTTTGAAAGTCACTTTCATCTTTTTGCAACCAATAAAATAATGAATATCTGATCAAGAAAGAAACAGGGAAAAAAAAAAAAAAAATGGAGGATGGTTGGTTGTTTTTGTTTAGCAGCATATCAACACATCTATGGGTCATTTAATGCCAAAATTTAAATATTTTTCTATGAAATTTTACTTTTTCTTTTTTTTTTGAGATAATAATAGTTTTAGTGATACAATTACTAATTAACACATAGCTGAGTGGAGAAGAGGTGGATTCATAATTTTTTCCAAGAGTATTTGTGTGTAAGCAAATATAATGAACCCCTAGGGGAATTGGAACTCGGCTCTCCAATTAACAATTCCTAGCTGTTGTCCATTAAACCACTCACACATCCAAGATTACAGCACCTGGTATTCTCAAGCAGTCACCCATTCAGGTATTGACTCTAGTGATCATACAGAAACCGGTGCTTCAACATGATGTGGGCATTAAAAAAAAAAATAAGACAGTAAACACAGAAAAAGAAAAAAAAGAAGGGAGGGTAAGAAAGCACATGAAGCAGGAAAAGGAGGAGGAGTGAGAAGGAAAGAAAGAAAGTTTGCAGAGAAGAAAAGATAAAAAAAAGATGAGATCTGTCCATAGGATGTTTTACTTTTGTTGATCTCTCAGCACAATTATTTGAACAGCAAATGAATGAGAAATTTCTTTTTTTTTCTGAAGCGGAAAAAAAATAGGTGGTAAAAAAAAAAAAAAAAAAAAAAAAAAAAAGTAGAACATATGTAATAAGATGTCCACATTTATTAATCAAACACTTTGCTGTGTCCAGTGAAACAGAAGGAATTTGTTTTAACAGGATTTATGACAGAAACAACATAACCTACAAATCTTTATCTTCTGATGTCTCTTCTTGAAAAGTGTCACTTTGGAATTTTGCAGAAGAAAAAACTATGAGAATTCCAAAAAAGATGTTTTCTATGTTAGAAGAAAGACAACATGAATCTTCAGTAGAATCAAGCATTCCCAAGATTTCTGACAGATACAATCACATTTACTTACACACATGAGAGACTACGATGAAGCCAGCAATTGGTTGCTTATATATATCTGGAGATAATAACAATATATAAATTTTTATATATCAAAAATAATATTTGGGGGGGAAAAAAGGTATGAATAAGTGGAAAAAAGGTTTCATGTGACACGTTTCATCCCTTAGGATTTCATTGGACTAAATTTGTTGGTGCGATTATGCATGCACACAGATGACAGGTGCTGAGAATTTCAAATTTAATCTTTTTTTTTTTTTTTTTTTTTTAATAAAGCTGATTTCATTCAGATTCTTTTTCTTTCCATCACTTTTTTTATTAGTCACCCCACATTACAATAATAGAAGTTCTGCCAGGAATGGTGAAAGGTTGTAAGAGCAGGGGGTATAAATTTACTTTAGATAACCTGGCAATCAAGGCACACTCTAAACATTGTTTTCTCCTTTGATCAGAGTAGCATTTTTTTATGTCAAAATTGTGGTCAGTCTCGTTACACTTAGCAACTAATGCATTTGATGTATTCTTTTGTAAAAATGTCCCTTTTGTGTATATATAATTTTATTTAGTTTCCTTGGGGTTTTCCTTATGTATTTATTCTGACAATTCTTACAGGTGATCCCCGATCCGGGGTGGTAGCACCTGTTAGGGTCCCAGCTATGGGCAAATAGTTAATCTCTAAACTGGGATTAAAACGCCATCAAATTGTAAAAATAGGTTTTAATATCAGAAATACTTTTTTTGTAAAAATTATTAGAAGGAATACTTTATTACTAGCAATACTTTTTGAAAAAAATTACCAGCAATTAAAAATTGTCAACATTAAATAATCCATAGCGGTTGATATGCCATAAAACAAAGAATATTACAGGTAATCGAGTAAATTCCTTCAAGTTTTGGCGTATTGTTTGGTTTAGTGTACATAACAAATTTAGTTGAATGAAATTCTAAAGGATGAAATGCATCACAAAAACTTTTTTCCACTTTGTCATACCCTTGTATATGTCTTATACTTAGCTGCACACCCCAGTGAAATTAACAATAACTTTAAGATGAACTTGGCAGAAAGTGATGCTAATCTACAAAGTCAGTGGTCAAAACTGCTATTTACAATAAAAACAGCAAAAAGAAACATTTTTACACAACATCATATAAACTGAAAATGTCCTAATTAAAGGCATCTGTATCAACGTTTATTTGTAAAAGGTAAACAATTAAAATTTAAAAAGAATATTTGTTGAAGGGCAGTGGCCAAGTGATGATCAGATAAGAAAACAGAATTGGCCTGCAGAGTTCAAACTCACATTTTATCAGTTATCTCCTGCTAATTTTCCCTCTGAAAGTTCTCCACTGCCTTAACCGGGTATTGAACTCACACTCTTTGGGTCTGGATCTAACCAACGCCTTTATCCACTGTGCCATGTGTCCTTGAGGACACTTGGCACAGTGGATAAAGGCAGTTAACATGGTTAAGGCATGATAACTGACATCCATGAAACATGGCACGTGGAACTAGAACAGTCTGCTCCAGTGAGTGAAATAAAGGGTTCAGTTCGAAATTCCAACCACCTGAAGAAGGCCCGAGTGTACAACGGACGAAATGTTGTGACAAATATGGCGACAAAGATGAGGACAATAGTCCAACGAATGTAAATATTGTACATAATACCTCATCTCAGAAATATAGACAGACTCAATCAGATTTTGGTATCACATTTTCCATCTTCTGTTGAAACACTTCCCAGATATTTGAACTTCTGTACTTGCATCTTCAATTTATAACTAGTCTCTTGGGTTTTCTCTCTTACTGATGATCATAATTTCTTCAAATATTACATTTTAGTGGCTACATGCATTCAAGTAAACAACCCATTTTTGTTTTTTGCTTGCTTTTAACAGTGTAAATTACATTTACAGGCCTGTGCATTCAAGAATCTTAAGAAAATGTGCCCTCTGACAGGGTCTGAACTTGCATCCTCCTTTGTAGGAGAAACCACCATTTGATCAGGCATGCTTTTAGTCAAGAGGATGTGCATTCTTTAAAAGGGATGAATGAGCCTTACTCAACTGTGAAACTCTCTGTGGCCAAGTGATCTAAAGCACACTGTATCAGAGTGGGTGGTTTCCCCTAGAATGGGGAGAGAGGTTCTAAACCTGCCAGAAGACACATGTGTAGCCACTAAAATGCAATGTTTGAAGTAATAATGTCAGATTAAATTTTTTAATCCATTAATTCATTAGAAATACATACACATGTGTATGTGTGTGTGTGTGTGTGTGTGTGTGTGTGTGTGTGTGTGTGTGTACATGTATAGCAAACAATGAGTGCAGGTAATAAAACAGTGCTCAATATATGATAACAGAGCTAATATATTATTGAAATTGGCAGAGTGCTTTCAATATTTTATGATCTTTATAATTAAAAAATAAACAAAACAAAAA